TATATCTTCTTTTTTCTCTCTCAAAATGTTAACTATTTTGTAAGTTAAAGTGTGTATCAAGGCTTTAACTACAATCCAGAAAGTTGTTTTCTGGGAAATATATTTCCACTCTCAATGAAAATTCTGACGTAACATTTCTGTAAAAGGACATTTCCTAGATTATTGAAATAGCATGGCTTAATATATTTACTTAAAATTCCTGAGTTTTGAAAAACATTTTTTGAATATCTTGAGATTTTATTTCAAATTACTAAAAACAAGATTTCAGAAAGAAAAATGTCCAGATTATGAATTATGAATTAACATAACAGTAGGGCCTCGTTGATCTGTTTATCCTACCATTCAGTCGGCTAGGGGACATACTTAGCCCTTCTCTTTTTAAAATTATACCAGAAATCCAGTTATCTTGCAGTCTAGTTACTTTTTCTGGGAATAAAAGTGACTAGGGTAGCAAACCTCCATCCTAGTTCATTTACTGCAGTCACGGTTCATGCTGTCCCACTTCGTGTGTTTTCCAACCTTTGTATGGTATATAAGTATATTAATAAGTAACACACTGATTATCGATTATATAATCGGTTAACAATACACTGTGAACTATATAGAACACACCATTATCAGTCATAGGTTGTAATGATTTATAATTATATACATGATGAACTCTGAAATAAAGAAATTGCATCATTATAATTATGTGTTGATTCTGATTTCATTAAGAGCCTGAAACAAAGTTTGGGTACTTAATGTTTCTTCCTTCTTTCACTTTGTTTCTTCCTTCTATCACTTTATTTCTTCTTTCTTTCACTTTGTTTCTTCCTTCTTTCACTTTGTTTCTTCTTTCTTTCACTTTGTTTCTTCCTTCTTTCACTTTATTTCTTCCTCCTTTCACTTTATTTCTTCTTTCTTTCACTTTGTTTCTTCCTTCTTTCACTTTGTTTCTTCCTTCTTTCACTTTATTTCTTCCTTCTTTCACTTTCTTTTCCACTGGTGAGATTTCCACCACTTTTCTTGAAAACTATTGTGCACATTCAAGAATAGAAGGCAATGTGCAAATGAATTTTCCTTTTTTGATGGTTATCCAACATGGCTGCCATTGCCGCCGACTGGTCAGAAGTTAGTTATTGACCAATTAAACTCAAATTTTGTACATAAGTGAATAATATTACTGAGAACACTACTGCGGCTTCCGTTTTCTGATTGGACAAAATGGTCACCATTAACTGGCCTCTGATTGGCCGAAATTTAGATATTGACGGATTTCCCTCAAATTTGGTACATAGGTGCACTCGTACACAAATTTCAAGATGAGTGGTCAGATAAAGTAAAATTTGTACTGAAACTAAGGAACTTTATATTAATTAAAACCTCTTGCCATGTAGAGAACTATGTGTCAATAAACCTTGCAAAATCCGAGAGATCAATCATGGCACAATTAAGGTGTGGTGTACTCCCATTGCGAGTGGAGACTGGACGGTATAAAAATGAACCTGTAAATGACCGTGATGTACTTTGTGCAACTCTGGAGCGGTGGAGGACGAAACACATTTTCTGTTAAACTGTTCACTTTATGATAATGAGAGAAATGACCTACTTCTTAACACTGGTATAACCTTTCAAAATCAATCAAACATCGAACTGTTTAAAATATTAGTATATGACTTTCCCAGGCAAACAGCAAAATATCTGTCGAAAATATTTGATAAAATGTATTATTTCGTAAAAATTAAGATTTTGTCTCATTCTTCAAGCATTTATATAATTTAATTGTTATTTAACCAATGACGCAAGTGATATTTTGAAGGTAAATTTAAGTTAAAGTGACCTATCGACCCTTTGGGTCGGGTGCTAAAATAATGTGTGAAACATTGTACATGTCACTATAATAAAATATATTGTATTGTATTGTATTGGTACTTCACACACATTAGCACCATTTGTGACTGCGGGGTTAGTTTTTAGGACATTTGTGATGGCCCCCCATTACAATCAGCACTTGTTCCATTATTTGTTTCTTCATGCAAGTCTCATCCTTGATACTCCAGGAGTTAAGCTCACTTTACAAGTCTCATCCTTGATACTCCAGGGGTGAAGCTCACTTTCACTCTCTGCACCTAATGAAACTTTGTGAACATTTTCCCTTTTCTCTAAACTTGAGGTGCATGTAACTGCCATGTTGTTTTTGAATTCTTTTAAAGGATAATAAACTTATTGAAATTATCTTTGTGAATGTATATAACGGTTCAAATAGGGAGAAAAATCTTGATAGGACGTGACAAATATTCTGGTATGGACGTCGTGCAGGGGGTTTAGTTATCCTCTAAATACTGTTCTTCTTATTTCAAATGGACTTAAAAAGAGAAGAAAAACGAAGTCAAGCATTTCATTAATTTAATTCATCTAATTGATTCCACTTATTTTTTGATGAAAATAGAAAATCACAACGGAGTATATGCACCATACCTCCAGTATCACAGTATGTTTCAACAAACATCAGAACCTGCAACTTTGTTCCTGTGACTCAAAATTATTAAGTTCAAAGGTCATTGTTGAATCCTTATAATGCCTAAGATCTATATTTATCTGTGGTTGCTATGCAACCATATCAGCTGTACTGCAAATTTTACTCTAATATGAATTAAGCCAGGCTCCAGTAGACCCTTGAGAGTATATGATGTTTTGACTCGTAGAGCTCAGCTCTTGGCTTTGAAAAGATATGTCTACTTTATTTGACATGTGTTTTGACTCTTCAAATGTTATGACTTTTGAAACTGCTTAATATGAAGGTTCTTCCATCCTCGACACTCCAGGGGTTACGCTCACGTTCTCTCTCTACACCCCTGGACTATGTCATAGCAAAATCGAAGGCTCAGTTTGTGCCACCACCTTGTGGATGAAACCAGAAGACTAATTTGATCCCTTCATGGACATCGAAAGAATCTCGCGATCGCATAATGGTAACATTTACTGGCTTCGAAATTCAGGTGTCACTCCTTTGTGTAATCTTCAAAGGATAGGTAACGGCCTGTGATTGGTAAGGTTTTTTCCACCGAGACCAATCAATTAGCTAGTCGCGTGCCTTTTAATTTTGCTATGACATATTCCAGGGGTGCAGAGAGCGAAAGTGTGCATAACCCCTGGAGTATCGAGGATGGGGGGGGGGGGGGGNATGTATTCTGAATGCCCTTATTAAGAGGACAAATGGATGACTGTTGTGAGTTTGTTTTTCAACTGAAAATCACAAGTGTTTTAGTATTAAAGTGTTACAGTAAACTGGGAAATTTTCTCTAGAGTTTAAATTTTGCCTTTTTCGCCTCCTTAATGCGGGCGAATTGATCATGACAACTAATATAAGTAAACAGCATGATAAACATAGTCATTAAATATGAAGGGCGAAATTAATACTCGGGCGAAAATTTGATTTCATGGAAACAGGGCGAAAGTTTGACTGGCCGTTATCCAGTAACTACATTATCTTCACAAGAAATAAATTTCCATATCAATTCACAAGACTCCTTCATGAATCTAAACATCTGTGAACATTATTTCTAAAGGTTATTACCGTAAATATTGGACTAGCGTTCTCTCAATCACAAATTTAAGCATTCACAAATAAAACCTACAGGCGTATCTGGAAAAATACAGTACATGCAAAGATGAAACAATTAAAAATTATTACAGTCAGCAGAGGTCATCACAGGAAAAGGATAACAATTAAGCAAATTAATTAAATCTTTCAAATACTTTATTTTAATAAAGTAGTTAAGATTCTATGTATGGATTCAGATTTTTTTTTATATGTAGCTCATATCTTCAACCAGCTGCAAAATATACACATACATCTACATGAAATTTCGCTAACAAGCCCAATTTATCTAACAAATGTCCAAAAAAATCTCATTTTTGAGATTCAATAATTGTTTTGATCACTAACATGAAATTTATTCTGTGAAAAATAAAAGCATCTATAAGTCTTCCGGACTGTCTGACAGTGAAGCACTAGAGTACCGGAGTGTTTAGGCTCTGTTTGTCCATAAACTACAGATCATATACAAACTGCCTATCGTCCACCTATACCTACACCAGCTGGTATGTGATGTACGCAGGACAGCAGGAAGATTAGTACGGCCAAGGTTGTTGAAATCACAACAAAACATTAAAACCAGCCCTGGTCGGTCACGAGGTCTAAAGCATCTCGCAAGAGATGCATGTCGCATTAATTAGCTAGCAAAATTTGCTTTAACCCATTCACCCCTAAAGTCACATTTGAACCTGACCCAATCAAAGAGTGGGCAAGTCCAGTTTAAATATTTAGGGGTGAATGAGTTAAAGTCAATTCAAGGCAATTTTTTATCACAGACTTCAAATCTCTTCAGAAACTTATCCATTTTCAATTAATAGAATAAAGTGTCTTTTGCCATCTTGTACTTATGTGACTTTGTGAAAATATTTTGAAATATTTCCATCGACATTCGAATTTTAATATCAGATCTGCATCGCAAAAGTAGTTTTTTTAAACTTAATGGCATTTAAAAAAATATTTGAAGTTCATGGAAACCAGATATAATGACATAAAATGCATGAAATATATATACTGACTATTCGTTCTAAATTTAATTAAATTCATTACTTAGACTACGTACTGATGTTGGACAATGTGTTACTGATCTTGGGGGAATCCCCAGGTGAATTCAATTCACTAGAGCTCTACCTTAAATAAACAATGCTCAGCACTTCAAGACTGCTTTGTGATCCTCATAGCTATCAGATCTCCCTCATTTTGACCAAAATTTACCAATCTCCCTCGAAACTCCCTCATTCAAGTCTAAACTCAAACAAACTCAAAATCTACATCCTGTGGTCACATGATCTCCTAGTTACCACAGGATCGATGTGTAATGATCATAACAGGTGTGTCCGAGTCAAATGAATGCTTTTGGAGTTATTTTGATACATAAAAAAGGGAAAGATAAATTGAGCAAAGCAGTTTCAGTCGCGTTTCACACACTTTCTCCCTCATTGGAAATGAGGAACGAGGGAGATCTCCCTCATCGGGGGTTTCAGAGGTTGACACCTATGGATCCTTATGCATAACTACTGTCTACATGTTTCAGGCTGTTAAGCATGCGCAGCTGTCATTAAGCCAAGTGGAAATTCTGGCCAAGGCCAAATGTAATGAAATATGGTGAATTTAACTCCCTAATAGATCACATTTGGTTTCTGATAACAACAGAAGGGAGGAAAACTACCAAGAACAAATCAGCATCAGTCAGGCATGTAGTTGCCTTTGCGCTGGCACGCAGGCAAATCTACTAAATTTTCAAACAGAAACCCAAAACGAGCTGTAGAGCTGACTTTATATCAAGGTTTTGAATATACAGGACCCACCAGTACCACCTTGACAGCCATAGAGGGAGATCTAGACCAACACCTATCTTCAGACTTGGAAGAGTTTAAGTACCACTTTCAGACACATGAATTACAATCACAAATACAAATGTTTAAGACAAATTTCCTGTATCGTTGTATAATACATTGGGTTACGGTAAGGATTACAGACTGTACTGTATCTTCAAAACTCAACAGTAGGGACCATTAACTTCTTCACCCCTGAAATTTCATAATGAACCATTCCAACCTTTGAATTGGAAGAGTTCAATTGTGTCTTCAGGGGTGAATGAGTTAAGCAATATCCATAGCCTCCTAACACTGATAATGTAACAACATAAACTCACCATCACTAGAAAGCAATTCATTGCATTTCATTACCTTCAGCTTTTGCCATCAATTACCAGTTTACCCTGATCATGGCCTCATATATATAGTAGTTAAGCTATGTTGATATTTCTATATACTTTAGCATCACAAAGAACTGGTCTTGAAATGTTGAGCATCCTATTTTTTTTCCATCAAGTATTAAACAATTTTATGAATATTTTCATGCCATAAAATGTCTGGTCCCAATTGCAATCTTATCACATTTTAAAGATTAATTTCTCTTTGTGAAACATTTAAAAACTTCTAACCGTCGATGGCGCAATCAATATATCACAAAAATATACATAAATAATGTTTCTAATTCTACTAAATCTACTGTGATATTCTCTGCTCCTACCCATGATTTAAAACTTTGTCTGGTGACTGTTTGACTTTTTTTCTTCAAATATTTGTTACAACCTGTAGTGTGCATGTCCTTCAAACTTTCAGCAAGCATTCTTATAAAATCATACATCTGAACAAACACGTTCTTTAATACTCTGTAAGGTTTCACAAATACTGTGGGTCATCAATGTTTTGGGTCTGAAATTTTGGCACAGAATTCCATTCATATATAGCTCCTGACAAACACGGGTCTCTTCTCACTAACGTTCCACAAGCTCCGAGATCCTGATGCTTACAGGCAGTCTCCATTTGATGATTTACCCGGCAATGCCAATAACAACAATTTTGCCATTCCCTGTTGTTCGTTCAACCAAAACGTTTTGACCTGTCCAGCAGTCGTTGGACATCAGGCCTGTGATCTAATCGTAGGTCTGGACAAACGCAGACTTCTCTTGCTTACGATCTACAATTTCTGAAATGAAGGTAATATGAACAGATATCAATACTGCATACTGGTCAGTAAAACGGTGTGCAACTTATATTTAGTTTTTCGCCATTTATCCTTGTTGTATCTCATAAATGAGGAAATATAGAATGATGATAATGATGGTGATGATGATGGAGTACGATATTGTTTCAAAGATATATTTTCGTGTCTGTAGTAAGCGTTACTTGACAAACAAGAACAGTTAACAAATATTTTGGACATATTTTATCAATTATAAGTGCTTCCTTGACTTGCCCCTTGCCTGCCCCACCCACCCCCATTTGTTCGCTCATTTACCTCACTGCGTAAGGACCATTCACACACTATGCCTCAATCAAAATTGCTTGTAAAATATTTTGGATATTAACGTTTAACCTGTACTAAATAAAGCTTGGAGAACATTCCCTTTCTATATGGTATGTACAGAGACAACCCTAGACTTACCGTCAGCAAAGGCAAGCTGTGTCAGACGCTCCACAGCCTTACCCTGTCTGTGTGACAGCTTACTGTCGCCAAACATGGCCAGGCGTTGTTGGGCGGCTACACACTCTGCCTCTGTGTAAACAACGAAAATTGGTTATATCACAGTCTTAAAGGTCCCTTTACCACTAAAGGCAAAACACTAACCTTGACATTCCTCAACTCTGGCAGCCTTCAACAACCACTGAATATTCGCATATGCATATGTCAAAGATCTATGAAAATGAGAATATCAAAATGCTGAGGAATTAAAATTTGTATAAAAAAAAACCAAAAAAAACCCTTAACATTGCTTCATTGAAAAAGGGGCACATCTCCGTAAAGTACTGTCAGATAATGGTATTTATCCAAAAAATATGGTAATTAACCTTCCTATATTTACCATCGTATGGCATTGCCACTATATAACCCTACCATATTCAGCTGGCATTCATTTAGGCTATGAATGCCATGTACCAATTGTTGACATTCAGTTGACATTTATATTGCCTATGAATGCCAACTGAAAGCAGTTCAATGCTTAAATGAAGTTTGAAGTTAATCTGTTGAAAATACCTTGAGATATCAAGCGGACATTATTTCAGCAATTGAATACCGGGGCATAGCTTTGTAAATTACAATCAGACAATGGTGGTTATAGAAAGTTAATCCGTTGAAAATTACTTGAGATATTGAGCGTACACCGTGCACACCCGCCTGACACCTCACACGATAACATGATCAGGCGAAAGGCATATAAATACGATTTGGCAGTGATGCATGAATTGAAAGTTCATAAATTTAATCTAAACTGTTTTATTAAAGGACTAACAGAATGTGAAAATCTATAATGTCACACAAATATGTTTCTTTTACCAAATTCTGTCTTCTTTCCTTGGGACTGCTGGAATTTGTCGAGGTTATCAAGGAGAAGGTCAAAGTTCACCTCTAGAAGCTCCCCGACCCTATCCAGGTCATTGTACTGCGTCATGGTCACCAGGTGAATGATTGTCGTACAAATCTACGTAAATATATAAACACAAAATGAATGGAGAGTTAACACATGTGTAAGCTGAACACCACAGAATAATAATATGAATATATATATATCTTTATCCGACATAGAGGATAGCATTAGTTTCTGTGCAGATGGAGTCATCAATGAATATGCATAGCATACAAGTAGATACTGTATACCCATACTGGCCAACCCTCCCTATTTAGGAGGGAGACTCCCGCTTTTGGACTCTTAAATTTAGCATTTTCAACCTGTGAATTTGCTAGAATTTTCCCATATTCTAAGATCTAGTGATTTCATCTGGAAGAACAACTCATAATATGTCATAATAAAGGGTTATTTTGTCTCTAGGGGTATATACACACATTTGATTTTTGTTTTGATTTTAAGCATGCAGAATTCCCCCATTGTATGTTGTACATGTGTACTAATATTCGCTGTCATGATAAATTCTCCCTCATTTGAATGGGCAAAAAAGGCAAAAGTTAAACTGCGGCGAAAATTTCTTGGTGTGCAGTAAATTATTTGCGGCATTTAATGAATATTATTAGAACAAAAGCTCTATCTAACAAGCATACTGAGTATTGCTGAAGCAATACATGTCCCCTACCGGCCCCCGCAATCTATTAAGATGCAACAGTGACCTCAACCTAGATCCGAGGACCTTGAAACTTGAACTTGTCCAATATATTGAAATTTTTTACAATAACGTGAAGTTTGACTAAAATCCATGAAAGAATGAGGCACTAGAGTGCTGACAAAGATTTTCTAAAATAGTAATAGTGACCTTGTCTTGCCCCGATTACCTTGAAATTGTCCAAGATATTTAAATTCTTTACAATAATGTGAAGTTTGATTAAAAACTAGGAAAGAATGAAGGCGCAAGAATGCTGACAAACTTCTTCGGACAGACAGCGAGGAAAACTTTAGGTATTCTTGTTTTCTTCTCCCTCCCTGCCACCCCCACCCAGTTTCACC